AGCATGGTACTGGCAAAGAAACAGACCTGAGGACCAGTGGAACAGATTAGAAGATGCAGAAATAATTCCAGACACACTCAGCCATGTCGTCTTTGACAAAGGAGCCAAACACCCTCACTGGAGGAAAGATAGCCTCTTTAATAAATGGTGCTGGAAAAACTGGGTTTCAACTTGCCAAAGACTAAAACTAGACCTATGTCTCTATGCACGAAACTAAAATCAAAATGGATTAAAGATCTAAATATTAAAATAGAAACGCTGAACCGGGTGGAACAGTGTTTAGGTAAAACTCTTGAAGACATTGGTGTAGGAAAAGATTTTATGAACAAAACCTCATTTGCCCATGAACTAGCACAAACAATCAACGAGTGGGATCTCTTCTTATTAAAAAGCTTCTGCACAGCAAGAGAAACCACCAGCAGCATGAAGAGACAACCCACAATGTGGGAAAAAATTTCACCTGCTCTTCCTCAGACAGAGGTCTACTATGTAGAATTTATAAAGAACTTTAAAAATCAGTCTTCCCAAATTAAAGGACCCAATCCAAAAATGAGCATCTGAAATCAACAGACATTTCTCAGACAAAGAAGTAGAAATGCCAAATAAACATATGCAAAAATGTTCCACATCGCTGGTCATTCAGGAGATCCAAATGAAAACAACAGATTCCACCTCACTGCAGAAAGAATGACTGCTATCGTGAAATCAACCAATAACAAATGCTGGCAGTGCTGTGAGGAAAGAGGAACTCTTCTCCACTGCTGGTGAGAGTGTAGACTGGTGCAACCACTGTGGCAATCAGTATGGAGATACCTCAAAAAACTAGGACTGGAAGTCCCATTTGATCCAGCTATTCCCTTGTGGGGTATCTTCCCCCCCAAATTAAAAGAATCATACCACAGTGATGTATGTGTACCCATGTTCATAGCAGCACAATTTGTAATAGCTAAAACTTGGAAGCAGCCCAATTGCCCATCAGCTGGAGACTGGATAAAGAAAATGTGTTTTTTTAATAAAATGGAGTACTAAGCCATAAAAAATGAGAAATTAGAGAAATGTATAACTAAATGGATACACTTTGAAGTGATACTCTTAAGTGAAATTAATAGGACACACATTTATAAATACCAAATAGTTTGTGTAGTGTGAGAAACTGAAAGTGTAAATAAGGACTAAAAGGTAAAATAGATAATGTGAAATAGGAAGAAAATGGGCAAAGGAGATGGGGAAGTCGGAGGGGTAGGAGAAAGGAAAGAAGGGAATGGAATTTATATGAGAAAAGGAGGAAATGGAAACAAAGTCTTTGTAAATAGGGAGGGATGAAGGGGTTGAAGGGAGGGCAGGGGAAGGGGGAAAAAATAAGAACCAAGACAGATTATGTAAAGGTGCAAATTTCCAATGATGAATGTCATTATATTGTATACCTAAAATGTACCAATAAAGTAAAATTTAAAAATAATGTGAACTATAGTGTTTGTGTTGAAATATCACACCATATTCCATTTATATGCACAATTAATATGTTGATAAAAATTTTTAAAAAATGTTAACCATCTTCAAAGTAAGAACAAAAATAGAAAATAATAGACCAAATAATAAATGATAAACTTGAAATACAATTAAAAGTGAACTGTATTAATTAAAATGTAAATATGAGTTTTCAAACTGAATTAATTTCAAAAATATCAAATGAAAAATAAAAGAGTAGAAACTTATGTTCTCATACAAATTTATTTACATCTAATAAATATCATTCTTAAATCTTGTGCATATAAAATTTGCATTTTAAAGGTAGAATAATATTTATGTGAGAAGTTAAATATATCTTTTTATATAATATTTAATACTTTAATTAGATGTGTATTACAAGGGTAACAGATTTTCTTTGTCAGCCTTCAACAATATTGTTATGACTTGTGGTTAGATGTCCCCCAAAAGCCTCATGTGGTCATGGGTGGAGCTTTTCAGAAGTGGCTGGATCTAGAGTATGTGTTTGATTCATGGTGCAGTGCTAGGATGAAGGGTGCTGGAATTAAGGGTGCATGATTACTACATCAGTACACTGATTAGTTTGGCACCCACCCTAACCTAGTATCCTAGATGGAATATAAAATGGGCGGAAAGAGCTGCTATTGTTGGTTGTGCCTGATCACTTGCTTTTGCTGTCTTTTGACAGCCATAGACTGTTCATCCTCTGTGATGCCTCTCTGCCATGCCACTCTGACTTGGAGTCCACCAACTATGAACCGAAAGCTCTATGGACTGTGGGCTGAACTAAACTTTTCCTCCTTTAACTTTACGTAATGTGTATTTTGTCTCAGCAATGAGAAAAGTAACTAAGACAAACATGTAGGCAGCAGGGTATATAACATGGGGTATATAACACATTGGAGCCTTGTTCACTAGCCTGTTGTGTGGGAAACTTGTTACTGGGAGTTCCACAGCCATTGACTGGAAACAATAGACCATCATCTGGATATGAAAGTCACTTTTTGAAATCTCAGATATTTAAATTCTTCCAAAAAATGTCATTTGAGATTGCCTTTAGTAATGGGAGTATAAATTTTGTAAAGGCTTAGAGAATATTATCAACAAACATGAATAATTATCCAAATAAATTGCTCACTTAGGAGTGGTTTCATAACTAAACATTGAGTGGTATAAATCAAAGAGATTAATAGTGTAATTTATAATAATTTATGTAGCATATATTTACCACAATTACTATAATTAAGAATTGAAGTTGAGAAATATTTTTGTCTAAGTCAGCAAGTAATTAATTTAGACTTCATATAAATGAGTATTTTCTGGACTCACGGGACTTACCTCATCTTGTAGATATCACTGTTCTTTAGTGCCACAAAGTGCAGAACAAAGAGTACTGAAACCAAGCAAAAACTGACTTGATATTTGGCTCAAAAAAGGCAACTCCCAAACACTTGCAAAATTTTCCTTAGGCCTATTCAGAAGGTGTAAGGCTAATTGGTCAGTACAGTGAACATTTAGCCAAGAAGTGGTTATTTTCTTCATTGTCAGAAACAAATTAATCCCCTTCCAAGAGAAGGGGGAAAATCATTGATGGGAAGAAACAATCATTAGCTCAGCATTTCTTTTTTTTTTTTTTTTCCTAATTCCATGGCACATATGTGAAGCTTTCCAAAAGTCTCTGAATGCTTTGGATTAAGAAAGAGAATTGTTCCCTGTTATTTATTTAGCCTTTCTATAACCAAACCATTATTATACTCACTCATGTACTTATACATACCACATTTACCATACTAGTGTCAGCCTAGTGTGTCTCTCCCTCCTTTGGCTACCTCTAACTTCATATTCCACATACGAGTTCAAAGACTAAAGGTCCTTACCAGGACCATAGGACTCTGGATTATGGCAATAGCTTCCTAACTTGTCTTTGTGCTCCCATTATTTCTTGGCTGAAGTTTGACAACAGCAAGAGTAAGCTCTTAAAATTGTCATGTATCAAAGGAGACATTCTCAAAGGAGTTTCCATCTAAATTCAAAGTAAAAGGCAGTTCTTACACAGCCTGTAAGACTCCATACAGGACCTGCCTCTATCTTCTGGCTTCTCCCCTACCAGCTCTGCTTTCAGGACATGGACATCCTTGAGGTTTTGTGAGGCATTTTCTGCTCCTTCTGTCAGAAGCATGCTCTCCACAGATGTGTGCATGGCATGTTCTCTCATCTCTTTCAAATCTTTACTCTGACAACACCTCATTCTTATTTAAAATTACAAGTTCTTCCTCTGGAAATTGTTACTCTGCTTCACTGTTCTCCATAGCAAATGTCATTTTCTGACCAACTTCTATTTTACCTGTTTTGTTTATTACCTGCCTCTCTCCATTAAAACAAATCTCCACTAGGATAGTGTTTTATTTTTTCCTGCTCTCCTTCTAACGTCTAAAACAGTATCTGGTCCATGAATTGTGTCTAATAAATGTTCATAAAATTCTGTCAGGATTTGGAAGCCTTTTCAGGATTATAGACATGGCTGCATTTCTTTTATATCAGAATATTTCTTAGTGATATAGTAAACAATTACTAGTTTATACTTCCACATTTTCTACAAAATCAGTATTATTTGCACAAGAATCATGAGATTTATATTAAGTATGAAGGTATGCATTTATGATTGCTTTAATCTTAAAACTTAGAATTTGAGATTTAATTTGTTCAGAAAGTGACAAAAAACATACAAAATAACTACAGACAACATTAAATTCTGTCAGATCTTAAACATTTAACAGTATTTGTACATTATATTTTTTAAAAAATATAAAGTGTTACAGATGCAATTGAAGCTTTTTGAAATCCCTGTATGCATCTCATTTTCTTCTCATCACATCCTTATATATTATCCTGAGTTTGATGTTTGATATTTCCATGGATTTGTATATATAACAATATCGGGGATTTAGCCCAGTGGTTCCGTCTCCTGCCTTGCAAGCGCAAGGACCCGAGTTCGATCCCCCTCCCGCCCAAAAAAACCAATATATGAAAGTGTCCATATACAATATTATGATATTTTTTACAATTTTAAACTTTATGCATGTGATATTGTAATTTAAGCTTTAGTGTTAACTTACTTTTATTTTTACCATAATTATGTTGGGATATTTATGTTAAATTTATACCTCTACTTAAGTAATTATAATTGCCATGTAGTATTTAATGCTATAATTACAATATATTTATTCATTATAAATATTTAGACATTTCTAATAATTCCTGTTATACATTGTTGTGGTTCTTTTCTTTTTGTACACCTATCCTTGTGATCATGTGGAAGAGTGTATAAGACATATCTAGAAATGGAATTGCAAGCCCAACTGTTATACATATTTAGCTTCCTTAGAAACAACAAATTGTTCTTCAAAGTGGTTATGCTTATGTATACAAATAAAACTAACATTGAACTTCTATTTCTTCAGATCCCCATCACTACAGGTTATTGTCAAACTTTTTTTTTTTATTGTGTTCCAGTTAACATTTTATACTCTTGTTAACATTTTACATATTGTTTCTGTTCAACCAATTCAGAACTTCATGAAAAAGTTGAGTGGTTGGCTGGGTAATAGGGTAACACAACGGAGGTCTCTTTTTCAAGGCTGGCATGTGAATAAAGTACCTGAATTCTTCGCTGTAGTCATTCCTGATATACTCAGCTAGAGTCTTGCTGTACTGCAGGCAGCTCTTGAGGATGTAAAACTGCTGGTACAACAGAACTGCTTGGCAGGGACTTAGCAGTTGAAATGAAGCTGAGAGCCCCTTCACCACTTCTTTCCCAATACTGGCCACAAACGTAATAATCGGAGGACAACTTTGTAGAAAGCACATCATCCAGCTAATAGCAAATGTTGTCAACCCCAATCCAAGATTTCCCTGCTGAAAGACAAGAAGTATCTCATATAAAAATGCTGTAGCTTTATCTGTATATTCCAGGATAAACTTCTGTAACTCAGCATCAAAAGACATTTCAAGTAAAGTTTAATCAGCCACCAAATGGATATCAAACACTGGACAACATTTTGGAATCTGAGGTTTGCTAATTAAAATTACCAAGAGATTAATTAGTGTTCCCTTCTTAGCTGCCAATGTGTTCAGGCATGATGACTCGATTTCTGTCTCTCTGAACATCAGTCGTAGGGTCTGTATAATTTCAATGCATGGCACCAGCTCATCAGCTCTTTGGCTTTTATTATGAAATGCATTCTTATTCCCAGACTCTGGCAAGTACTCATGAAGTTTGTTCACAAGGAAATAGAAAAGGTCGCTGGTTTTCCAGAAAAGCCTTTTCAGAATGAAATTTTTCTGGGCTGCTACTTTAAGTTTGGTAATTAAAGTATCTTCCTCAAAGTATTGTCTTTAAGAAAAAGTTCAGATTTGAGTTGACTGAAGTGCTTAATTTTCTCCTCAGATCTATATGGCTTTGGACTTCTAATAACAGGACTGAGCTCAGTAGCATATAGGGGTGTCACGTTCGCCTTTGACCAGCAATGACGACGCAACACCAACGCTCTTCTTCTAGCAGTTTATTCAGGAAAACTTAACATTCTTTTTCTTCTACCCCTGGGGAGCACCCGTCCCTAGAATAAGTACCCCTGAACCAACCAATCACGGATAGTCATGTGGCGAATGCGGATAGGTACACGTAAGAGGGGGCAGAGCGTCAGACACATCACAGCCAAATAAGGAGTTGTTTATCATAAAGAGCTCTCGCCTTCGGGATGGCGGAAGGCGGAAACCAGCGCCATCTTTAAGGCGCGGCACATGCAGCTCTCCACATAGGGGATCTTGTAAAAGAGTAGCTTTTATAATGTAATTGTTCCATGAACTTTTTAAGTGCAGAAATAGAGATGAAGTAGCAGAAACAATGTACAAGTGAAGTTCTGACGCCTTTTTCTTTAGGTTTAAATCGCTCTCCAAAGGGGAAACTGGGAGAGAATTTCCTAAGTGAAACTCATTTCTGTTCCCACCGCACTTGAAAGAGATTTCGCTTGAGGAGTCTTTGTGATCTAGAAGTCCCTGGCGTTCTTTCGTTGTCTGTTGTGCAAGCTGTGTTTGTGTTTGCTGGCATGCTGACAGCCCTGCCAAGGCTGGTTTGGGTGGACAGCTCCTCCTGGAGGGCACAGGTAAAGGTCGAAAGGTTCCTTGGCGCTGAGGGCACAGCTTTAGGAAGACTGGAAGTTGAGTCCGCGAAGGCTCTGTAACTCTCCTGGTCGTGCTTGAAAGAGGATTCACTCAGACTTCTAGGCTCTTTACCTCTCCAAAAGATAGGGCCACCGTTCTCTTCCTTGACCTTTTTGTCAGCATTGACATGATGAAATGGAAATAGGAATTTCCTGACACCTTTTGATTTTTCACACTTTTTTCTCAAGCCAGTTGAAGAATAGATGATACAAATGTGTTGATTGCTTTCTCTATCTGGTGAACTCAAAAATTCTGGGTAATCTTCAGTCAGGTCAGTGGCCACGACATCCCACAGCGCCAAAAACCGCCGGATGGACTGGGGGGGGGGGGTTGTCCGTCAGGTAGATGAGCCTGTCGCTGAGCACCACGTATTTGAAAGTGTGTTTCTCCGAATCTGACACCACGACGCATGGCTCATAGGCACGGATGGTGTCGTAGACCTCGGGTGGCAGCTGCCGCCTCAAGAACGCGTCCAGGTGTCTATTGGTGCGTGTGGGGAAGCCGGAAGTGCTGGGGTGGCCATGCGGCGCAGCTGGGCTGAGTGACGGGCCGTGAGCACCTTCCCAGCCACCCGCGCTAGAACCTGCGAGCGCCACAGAGTCTATTCATTTTTTTTTTTTTTTTTTTTTTGGTACCGGGGATCGAACTCGGGTCCTTCTGCTTGCAAGACAGGTGGCCGAACCACTGAGCTAAATCCCCGGCTGTCAGACTTCTCATATTTTTTAAAAGTTTCAATTGTGTGAAATAATGTCTAACAGAAGCTATATTTGCATTTTCCTAATTTCTAGTGAGGTGGAACATTATTTTCATCACTGATTAGCTGAATAAGATTTCTATTTAATGGATTCTTCATTCAATAGCTTTTAACCATTATCCTCTACTGTTTTGCTTATACATTGTGCTCTTCATAAATTTTGTATATAAACTTTTGAAGGTTTTAGTGACTATGTAATTAATAATTTAATCCTAAAACATACTTCAAAATGGAAGGGCACATTTGCCAGGGGCTGACCAGACCCTCCTATTCATGTGAGGTGGGAATGATGGGGAACAAAGGGAAACAGAGACAATATTCCAAGTGCAAGGGAAGTGGGAGAAGCCTATCTAGTGGACAGGCTTGACAATCTCTGTGGTTGACCCACTTTTATTAGCAAGTGAGAAGCATGGGGGAAAGTCATGCATCATTCGTTGAACAGTAATGGTTGAAAAGATATTTTGAAAAATAGAGAACAAGATAAACTTTTACAAGGGGAGTGTGTGAAAGTGGAACACATCCTTCCCTATACCTGGATGCCTGCCCAAGTTAATAAATTAATATCTAGCACTCTTTACATCATCTTCAGCCAATGTTATCTTCCCATGTTATCATCCCATATTATGAGCATTCCCTACACCACCAGAAAGCATGCAGCCTTCAATGTACTTTTCTGTTTCCCAAGGCAAGTCACAGCCTTGGGACAGTGAGGCATAAGTCACACAATCTGACCCCCAATAATTTCTCACATAGCCTGGTCCTCAACATATATTCTTTTTTTGAGGGGGTGTACTGGGGGTCAAACTTGGAACTTTGGGCTTGTGAGGCAGGTGGCAGCATCACTGAGCTAAACCCCCAGCCCCTCAACATATATTCTTAATAATAATGTCCAGATAATAGAAGAAAACTAGGCCTATCCTGGCTAAACTGAATTGTTTTTTTGCCTTAGTTATTAAGTTTTGACATCTACAGTTAAATGTTTATAGCATCTTTTCATTTAACAGAGGACTTTTCAAATTTAATCAAATGTATCAATTTTTTTATTAAATTCTTTATCAGTACATTGTAGGTATACAACACAATTACATTTCTCATTGGGAATTGTACCTTTACATAATGCATCTTGGTTCTTACTTTTTCTCCATTCCTAGCCCTCCCTTCACACCCTCCACCCTTCCCTATTTACAAAGACTTTATTTCCATTTTTTCCATTTCTCATCATTTTTCCTTTCCCTTCTTTCCTTTCCCCTGCCCCTCCCACTGCCCCTACCCCTTTGGACCTTTTCTTCTTATTTTACATTATTGATTATTCATTCTAATCATTGCTACATTTTAGGTATACAATATACTGACATTCATCATTGGAAATTTGCACCTTTACATAGTCTCTCTTGGTTCTTATTTTTTACCCTTGCCCAGCCCTCCCTTCAACCCCTTCATTCCTCCCTATTTACAAAGATTTTGTTCCTATTTTTCCATTTTCTCATATTAATCCCATTCCCTTCTATCCTTTCCCCTAGCCCTCCCACTTCCTTCCCCTTTGCCCCTTTTCTTCCTATTTCATATTACCTATTATACATTTAGTCCTTATTTACACTTTCAGTTTCTCACACCAGAGAAATGCATCAATTTTTAAAGCTAGTTTGATTCTATTTATGTGAAGTACATATGATAGTTAAATTCATAGATATAAAAAAGACGTCATGATGGTTTCCAGGGTCTAAGGAAAACGGGAGATAACTGCTAATAGGCTCTGAACTTCAGTTTTTTCAAATGTAAAGAGGTCTGGCGAGAGACAGTGATAATAGCTGTATACCATTGTGAATGTACTAAAAGCCATAGAACTGTACACAGAAAATAGGGAAAATTGTATATTTATTTCTTGTGTATTTACTACAATAAAATGTAATACAAAATTAATTAGAATAAAGGAAAAATACTAATTTTTTGTAAATAGTTGTTTATCCAATCTCATGCATTTCTCATTTTAGTGAGTGTCTAAGTTATGTCTCCTACTTTATTATTCTATGAAGAAATCCAAGATATGGTCATATAAATAAATAGTAGATAGTTGATTCAATTCCTGAGTCTTTAGTTTAGTTTTTTTTTTCCTCAGAACCTTAGATACAGAGATACTCTTGAAAATTTAGCCAAGGCAATGAATGTACAATGGACCCTTGACTTATGAATTCAATTCATTTTTGAGGGCTGGTTGTATCTCAAATTAGTCAGCTGAAGGCTCAGGCTCCTCTACACAGTCTTCTAAGTCTCTCTCTTATATACAGACAGATCTCAATGTCAGACATTTTCCCAGGATTTTTCAATTAACGCCTTACAGGAAAAGATGCTGTAATGTTCCTTCCAGAGTTAAATCTGTATCTGAGACCATCTAAAAGCATAAGTTGCTCACATTCAGGTCATAACTCAAGACTTTGTTCATAAGTTAAAACTAAAATTCTGATTGTAACCCAATTGCTCATATGTCAGGCCAATTATAACTTTAGGGTCCACTGTATCAGTAGCTTCTTTGTTCAAAATTATTTGTATGACTAAAGAAAGAATCTCATAGTAACTTTTGCCTCAAGTGAATTTTTGCCTCTGTCTTTCACTTTGTATGGATAATTTAATATTCATTATCACATAATTATCCAATCAGACAGCAATGCCTGTTTCTGCTGTTCAAGTACATTGGATATAAGACTTTCTCCCAGGTTACCACTTTGTGTTTCTCTTTCAGATCTATCTTTCATTGGATTTCCCTCTTTGCATTTTATTTCTATTGCTACATGCTTGCAGTAGAATTCTATATCTACCCATGCACTCAACAACTTGATTAGAATCATTCAAAATATTATAATTCATATTGAATATTGTAATTCAAAATGTGTCATAACACATAATAGAAGCCAGTGAAAATAATTATTCTCTTATTTCCCAAAATTTGAAAAGGCTAAATAAGCTTCTGCATAAAATAATCCACTGATACTTTTTCTTAAAGCTTTCTTTTTCTTTCTTTCTTTCTTTCTTTCTTTCTTTCTTTCTTTCTTTCTTTCTTTTCTTTTGATCCATCATTCTTTTTTAGTTAAAGTGTTACTGGGAGATGAGGCATTAAGTAAGGTAAAATTGTCTGAACATTTAAAAATATATTTTCCATTTAATTTATAAGAGATACCTTTAAATATTGGAACACACTCTGTAAATTCTTAAAAAATGTTGCACCCTGTTTGTATAAAGACATCTGAAATATATAGATTCCCCCCCCCCAAAAAACCTTGGTGATCCTTAGGGACATTCCAAAATTCCCACAAGATTTAGCTCTTAGCAAACCAAACCACTGTAACCATAAGCTAGAGTATTGTTACTTTAACTGACCCAGT